CCTGGGAACAGGGATCCGTGTGGGATGTCCCAGCCAGGGGCTCCCTGGGAACAGGGATCCATGTGGGATGTCCCAGCCAGGGGCTCCCTGGGAACGGGGATCCGTGTGGGATGTCCCAGCCAGGGGAGCTCCCTGGGAACAGGGATCTGTGTGGGATGGTCCCAGCCAGGGCTGTGTCCCGCAGGTGCCCCCCTGGTGAAGGCTCTGCCCGTGAACCCCACGGACCCTGCGGTCACCGGCCCCGACATCTTTGCCAAGCTGGTGCCCATGGCTGCCCACGAGGCCTCGTCCCTGTACAGGTGTGTCTGGGGTGGGATGGGGTGGGATGGGGGTGTGTGTCCCAGCAAGGCCCCCCTGTCCCAGCTCGGGCTCTGCAGGCTGGAGGAGCTGCAGGGGACCAACGTCACAGCCATCTGTGGCCCCCCAGGGCTGGACGGGGCTCCAGCCAGTCCCCAGGGGGGACCAGGGCTCAGGGGACCCAGGGACCCCCGGGCTCAGGAATCCTGGCAGAGGTTTCCCTGCACTCATGGCATGTTTTGTCCTGTCACAGCGAGGAAAAGGCCAAACTGCTGCGGGACGTGATGGCCAAGATCGAGGCCAAGAACGAAGTGCTGGAGTACGTGAGGGGACTGGTGGGGCCCTCCCACCCCCAGGGGCCTTGTGGGTCCTGGGCTCTGGCAGGGGGGACACGGCCACCCCTCAGGGACCCCTCTGTGCCCCACAGCCAGTTCATGGACTCCATGCAGCTGGACCCCGAGACTGTGGACAACCTGGACATGTACAACCACATCCCGGCCGTGCTGATGGAGAAGTGTGCTGCCCTCAGCGTGCGCCCCGACACCGTCCGCAACCTCGTCCAGTCCATGCAGGGTGAGGGACGGGGGTGGCACTGCTGCCTGCCCACAGCTGGGCACGGGGAACGGCTGCACCAGCAGCCACTTCTTTGCTGGTGTAAATTCCTGAATCCCAGAGCGAATCCCATCCCTGCTGGATGGGAGGGGGGTGACCCTGAGGGGGTCGGTGCCCAGGAGCGCCCACCACCCCGGTGTCTGGGCTGCCACGTCCTGCCCTGGGCTGCCCACAGCCGGGTTTCATCCTGGGAGGCCGTGTCCGTGCCTGGCTCCAGGCCCAGAGCAGTCGGGGGGTGTCCCAGCCCCGCTCCCCGTGTCCCCCCAGTGCTCTCCGGGGTCTTCACGGACGTGGAGGCGTCGCTGAAGGAGATCCGGGACCTGCTGGAGGAGGACGAGGCGCAGGAGCGGAAGCTGCAGGAGCTGCTGGGGCGGGTCCCGCCGGCGCCGGGGTCCCCCCCGGGGCTGGCCGAGGTGAGCAAGGAGTGCTCCAAGTACCTGGAGCTGCACGAGAAGGCCAGTTTCACCAACACCGAGCTGCACCGCGCCATGAACCTGCACCTGGGCAACCTGCGCCTGCTCGGCGGCCCCCTGGAGCAGGTCCGGGCCGCGCTGCCCACCCCCACCCTGAGCGAAGGTGAGGCCTGGCCCCGGCAGGGGGGAGGCAGGGCTGTCCCTCCCTGTGCCCCCCTGGGCTGAATGTGGCCCCCCGGACTGGGAGAGGCAGGGCTGTCCCTCCCTCTGCCCCCCYGGGCTGAATGTGYCMCCCCGGACTGGGAGAGGCAGGGCTGTCCCTCCCTCTGCCCCCCYGGGCTGAATGTGYCMCCCCGGACTGGGAGAGGCAGGGCTGTCCCTCCCTCTGCCCCCCCGGGCTGAATGTGCCACCCTGGGCTGGGGGAGGCAGGGCTGTAACCCCCTGAGGCTGGATGTGCCACCCTGGGCTGGGGGAGGCAGGGCTGTCCCTCCCTGTGCCCCCCTGGGGGTCCCTGTGTGTCCCTGGGCACTGGCACCGTCCGTGTGAGCTGGGTGGGTGCTTGTCCCCGTGGAAATGTGACAAGTGGGGCCTTGTTTGGGGTCAGAGCCCTGGTCACTGTCCCAGGGCGTGGCCCCTCACCCCTGGGGATCCCAGCCCTGATCCACCCCCTCGGGCTCCATGCGGTCCCTCGGGGTCTGGCCCTGCCCCTGACCCTGCCCCACCCCCAGACGACAAACAGGTGCTGCAGAACCTGAAGCGAATCCTGGCCAAGGTGCAGGAGATGCGGGACCAGCGGATGTCCCTGGAGCAGCAGCTGCGGGAGATGATCCAGAAGGACGACATCACCACCTCGCTGGTCACCACCGACCGCTCCGAGATGAAGGTGGGGCTGGGGACGGGCCCCTTCCCCCGCGGGGGCTGCTCCGCCCCGAGCCCCACGGACCCTCCCCTGTCCCGGCAGAAGCTCTTCGAGGAGCAGCTCAGGAAGTACGACCAGCTGAAGGTGTACCTGGAGCAGAACCTGGCGGCGCAGGAGAACGTGCTCAAGGCCCTGACCGACGCCAACGTCAAGTACGCGGCCGTGCGCAAGGGGCTGGCCGAGGTGGAGCACAAGTGAGTGCGGGGGGCTCAGGGCCCAACAACGGGGGGGGCTCACCCCTGGCTTCCCCCGTCCCACCCCGGGCTGGGAGCCGTGCCAGCGGCTTTGTCCTGTCCCTGTGTGCATCCCAGTGGGAGCTGGGGGGTCACCCGGGAGCCTGGACTGGGCCCAACCTTTATACCGGTCGTCCATCCCCTCCCTGCCCCTTTCCCAGGTGGAACACCACCGTCCAGACGCTGGTGGCCTCCTACGAGGCCTACGAGGACCTGATGAAGAAGTCCCAGGAGGGGAAGGATTTCTACACGGACCTGGAGGGGAAGGCAGCCAAGCTGCTGGAGCGGGCACGGGCCGTGTGCCAGGCCAGCCAGGCCCAGCGGCAGCAGCTGCTCGAGAGGTGGGTGCTGCCCCGA